CCCTGCTCTATTCTGACAACTGCCTCTTGGTCCAAGTATAGGTTTCACATTAGCATGATTAAATGTTCTGAGATGCATAGGCCAACTGTTATAAAATGGAACGGACATCAGGGTTGAGGGAAGACAGAAAAGAAGAGGAGGAATGATGTATATTGCATTGAAACAGCTGAAAGAGAGAACTCTTTAAAAGGGACATATGATTGGGTATTCTTGTCATTACAGAAGTCCAGAGTGAAAGCTGCATAGTGGAGTGGACTTGGAGGGAGGGATTGCATAACAATGAAAGAGTTTTTCTTTTTCTTTTCAAGGAGAAAAGTGAATTGGGCAGGGAGAAAAGTGCAATAATGAATGACTAGCAACCCTAAGTCTCTGTAAACTTTCATTCAAGCCATGACATGCATCTAAAAGTTGAACAAAAAATAGGAATGACAGAAGAATTGATGCCAGAAGAATTGGATAGTGGTGTTGGAGAAGAGTACTTATTATCTTATGGATTGACAAAAGAATAGAAAAGTCTGCCTTTAAGGAAGTGCAGTCAGGGTACTCCTTGAGGCAAGGATGGTGAAACTTCATCTTACATACTTTGAGCATGTTGTCAGGAGGGCCTAGTTCTTAGAAAAGGTCATCATGCTGGGAAAAGTGGAGAGTCAGCAAAAGAGAGGAAGATCTTTGAGATACATCTACACAGTGACTGCAGCTATGAACTTGAGCATATAAAAAATAGTGAGTATAGTAAGTATCTGTTCTGAAGTATTTGTTTATTGCTAGAAATTGACCTCTGAGTACTGATTTGCTGTGTCCCAGAGGTTTCAAGTAACTTTATTTTTCTATTTTATTTCCTCTATTACCCAGTTCCGTCTCCATACCTTTTCAACCTATATGCAGAGCAGATTTTCCGAGAGGCAGGGCTCTATGAGGAGAAGCGTGGCATTAGGATTGGTGGACGATCTATCAACAATCTGCATTATGATACAACCCAGCTCACTGAAACTGAGGAGGACCTCATGCACTTACTGCAGAGGGTCAAGGACTGCAGCCTTCAATATGGACTGAGGCTCAATGTCCA